GTAAATGCTATATTGTTTTACTATTAGACTTAAAATTACAATTATTGTACACATGTTTAAGTGACCTTATTCAGTTTCAGGTATCCCTTTCTCTACTTTTTGAATATAAAAATTGTGAATGATGATACATTATAACCTGTTTATGGACAAACGGACAAATAGTTGTAAGAGAAACAAAGTCGCTTAAATGGGGGCAAAGTTGCGTATTCAAGTAATCAACAAAATGCTGCTCAGAAAGTAGAGTAGAATACTTTAGGAAAGGGACGGAAAAAACGCAATTTTCCTAAAATAGTTTTACTTTTTTCCCGAATTTATTTGTAGTGGAGTTTTAAAATGAATTACATCCCCAGGGCTTGAAATTATCAGATTTCATTTGTTTCGTATACCAGACCAGAACATTTTGAACATCTGCTATGATTTACTTCTGCCTATTTATGATTATTATTATTATTTCCATCAAAAAAATTCATTTTGTGTACAGGTTTCACCATATTTTTTTATTTCTTTATAATTTTTATGCAACAACAAATTCATGCCTTACTAAGAAAATACATTGCTGAATTTAGGACTGAGAATTCTAGATATACAAGTATAGAAAATTCCAATATAGCGTCCATATGGAAAAACAAAGTTGGTGATAGAAGTCGAAAGAAGCAATGTCAAATTGAAAATTTCACTCCGTTATCTTGTAGAGGAGAATAAGTAACAATGACAACATGCAATATATTTCAAAAGCCCATCTCAAATAAGGTCAGGGAAAAATAGAAGTGATATTGGGATAAATCTGGTATACAAAGCAAATGACTATCTGATAATTTCAAGGCCTACTTAGGAAATTCTGCTTTTTTGAAATAAGGTTTGGCAATGCCATTATATGATGTATTACATTTCTTTAATCAAAATTAGAAACTCTATTCATCTGTGTAAAAATCCAAAATGGCATCCATAAGAAAAAATAAGGTTGATACTGGAGGACAAAAGCTGAAACATCATATTGAAATTCTGATTATGCCATCTTGAGGAGGAAAAATAGTGGCAATGTTATTTTGGAATCCCTCTACAGATAAAGTCAGAAGAAAATTAAAACGATTTTGGGAAAACTCGGTTTTTGTCGTTCTCTCTCCGAAAGTACTTTAAATTTCGAATCTTTCTAAGCGGCAATGTCTTGACTACCTAATTAAGCAGATTTGCCTCCGTGTTAACGACTTCGTATCTCTTACAGTTTCCGAGATCCCAATGGTGAAGGTCGAATTTCAAACACCCTGTATGATAAGTTCACAATGAAAACAAAAAATATCGAATTTTGTTAGGTGATGAAACAGTTTTTATTTTGATCTAAAACATCAACTATCAATATCAAGTTCTCCAATTTTTTTGATATCTAAGATTTGTCAAAGCACAAGTACAATATATGTAGGTATATTCAGTTAAATACAATTTGTCGTTTTAAATTCCAAATATTATCTAAATATCCTTTTACCAAAACTAATTAAATAAATTTAATATATATGTAATTAAATTGTTTTTACTTGCAGCAGGTAAGCTCATTTTAGTAGTTCATTAATTTTAAATAATTTGGAGTAATCAATATAGATAAACTGTTTGATAAATTTAATTAGACGATTGCGTTTTCGTTTAATTAATCTTTTTTGACAGAACCAAGTAAACTGTTTAAGAAATAGGAATTTAACCAAATTAATCAAACTTGTTAGCTGATTACATAGTTAATTATTTTTTTAATGGACCTAATTAAAATTTGATTGGATTAATTTTTTTCTCAGTGTGTGTATTTTTATAATCCGACGATTTGAATGTGACGTAAACGAGTGGGAGGGTCATTAATAAGGCAGCGCAAAGCGCCATCCCTCGATCGGACAGACGAAAGCATCATGTTTCACAAACTTTCAAAAAAAAAACGTTTTAACGGATGAAGATAACGACATGCGTTTTTCACTGGGTCAGGATTTTTCATGCGCTTTCTGAGTAATGAAAAATAATAGTACTATTGCATCTGCAGTGTTCGGAAAAAGGCATTTGTAATCTTGGGGTTGGAGTTGCGCCCTCTGGCGGTCACTTTAGGAGGCTGAAAATAATCTACAACAATTTATCTTGGTCATTTTTGTTCTAGAATTGTTAAACGGTAGATCCAAGTTAACTGTTTGCCAAGATACATCCGGTGTCCTTAAGTAATATCCCACCCTGTACAAACCGGCAGATTATCATATCTCCAATATCAATGGCACGTGGGGTATATACATTATGAATATCTGTCCTGTAGACGCTCTACCACTAAAAGGATATATATCATATATATAGTTTCAAGCCATTTACAAGGGTTCAGCTGCTTCAAAACTGACACTCCATTTTTCAATATTTTTGAATGAAATTCATACAGTATGTTGAGAAGACAACTCCCCAGGGTGCTATAGGAGCACTTTTTGAAATTTTGTTTTCGCATAAGTTTTATGATGGGTTGAAGTGCGCACTTTTTCTGTTCAACTTCGCGATTTTTTTAAAAAGAACCTAGTGAAAAAAATGAAAAAGTGGCTCGATAGCACCCTGTGGGGTTTTGTTTTCAGCACTCTGTGAAAATTTCATCCAAAAATATCAAAAAATAAAGCGTCAATTTCGAAGCGCGCAAACCTGTACAAATCGTATTTTGGACAAATTTTGTCTACTGTTTCGTGCTGCCAACCCAAGCATTGCGGCGCAATGTACGGACTAAGAAAAGACGTATTCAGATAATTTGGAGGCCCTATTTCATATAATATCGCGTATATAAGTCGTTCTGCAAATAGGTACTAATAATCGCGATCGCTGATATTCCTCGATTTTAAAGCCGCTTTACTCCCCACGCCAGTGGCGAGGAACTATTGTAATCGCGAAACATTTCTAAAATGAGATGTTATCTTTTTTAAGTCATATGACATCTACAACACGAAAAACTGTATCACTCATCAACTTGGAAATAACCGCTCGGATTTTTCTGATTTTTCCACATGGGGTTACTAGTATGCCAAAGCAAAAAGTAACAATTACTGAAACTCCGTTTTTGACGTTACAGGGGTTTCTTATCATTGACAGAAAAAAATTGTACTGCTTAAAAAGTGGGGGTTGGGGGAAGGCGATTCTGAATGTTGCATCTTTGACATCAGTGAAACACGTTCTATTATTAAGAAGCTTCTGATCCCAGTGATTACAGGAAATTTAAGTAACGAAAATCCGACGAATAATGTGCTCACGATTTGAAAAAATCGGTACCTGCTCTATAGGTTTGACACCAAGAGCCAACAGATCTATCTGCAACTGCCGACAGTAGGGAAGAATGAATTCGGATATCACTTCAGTCAAGGAAATATGTTTTTGAGAACGATAATTTGGTAATGTTTTTCTGGATATAAGCAGGACATAATTGCCTAAGGTACTATCAGAGCTTTTTACAATATTTGTCTTTGCGCAAGAATTCTGGTGGGTTGAAATGGCTACTATTTGTGCTCAACTTCTTGATATATTAAAAAGACCCTGGTGGATAAAACCGAAAAAGTGGATCGTTAGCACCCTGTGGACTTTGTTTTTAGCACGCTGCAAGAGTTTCATTTGGAAATAATATAAAATGAAACGTAAGCTGTGAAGTGCAAATCGGTTTTTGAGCGAAATTCGTCTACTGTTTCGTCCCGCCAGTCCAAGCGACGCGACGGTGCGTTCCGACTAAGAAAAAATGTATTCAAATAATTTGATACCTTTCCTAAAATAAATTCAAGAACTCAAATTACAATTCGTTTATTTATGTCAGTAAACACAATTATGTTTACAAGGGTCATGTGGTACATGGTAACAATTGAATGAGAGTCATAAAAACGATAGTAATAAACAGGTAGGCTTATACCTGGATTAAGTACATTTCTTGTCTACTGTAATAGGTAGATGGAGGCGGTGCTGCCATAAATGGTTGTGTGCCATTAATAAACAAACCACAAGACTGAACTGCGGTGTCCAATGATTTTTGTATTGTCTTTTTTATAGCGTTCTTAGAAAACTCTGTTGGGTATATGATGGAGTTTACTAGAACTTTACAGCTTGTTGTCTCCCTCTTCTACAAACTTCACCAAATCTAGACGCTGTCAATCTTATCCTCCGATGAAGGCGCGACAAAGTACAGTCCTGTGATTTGGTGACTTGTTCGATCTGCAAAATCTCGTCGTCACTTTTTTTTAAGTTTCCCTAAAAATTTTCGCTCAGCAACCTCCAAATCAATGTAGTTAATGTCAGGTTTTTAATTGAATTCGCCATAAAACTATTCATTTTCTTTGGAATTGCTATCCGAATTGTTAGTTATTAATATATCAGCTTTTTTTGGTAGGAGTTTCTTTTCAAGATTCTTGCGTTTGAGTCTTTGTTCCATCTTATCGATAAGCGAGGTTGGACTAAGCTTAGAACGCAAATGTATTTAGACCACATATACAGGCCGCTGGGTATTGTAGCTCACTACAGCTGCAGCACATCTTCCATGGCATGACCTCTTCTTGCAATAATTTATTCGCTTACCCCAATGTATTTTGCGATTATAGAGTTGAACTGCTCCACACTACTGTTGACCTCATCATGAATTAAACTCACTGCATTCGTAATTAAAATGGTCGCATATGACCCTTTATTGTCCATTATCAGCCTTGATAAAAAAGGCACTCAAGAACAGTCACATCAACAAAACGACAATTCAACAACACAATATCGACGAACAGTAACAAGGGGAGAAAAATACTAAATGATCACTTGCTGAGTACCAAAATAAGAAACGATTTACATTCTAGATCGCTAATCGAAATCCGACTCTGTTATAAAAATTTACCTTGGTATGCACCCGCAGTCATCCTTTCCTCTTTTAAAGTGGCGCCGACGACCGTCTAGGCCCAGCCCACCCTCATTTCCTTTTCATTGTAGGAGCCCCGTTAAACAGGGAATTCTTGCCTTATATTTTTAGAACACTGATTATAATTTACCTGCTGAGCGGTATCTTATCCATCATGGGCTTGGCTCGAATTGGATCTGACCACCAAAGTCTTCCCATATCTGTCATTATTACAGTCGGGTTAACAGAATTAACTCTAATGTTTCGAGGTCCATATTCCAAAGCTGCTGCTCTAGTAAACGCATCTACTGCGCCCTTACTAGCGCAGTATACGGTATGTCCCAACAGACCTGCCAGGCTAGCCTAAAAAATAGAATAAAATAAAATAGAATAATGCTTTATTTGTGTGAGCCTGTAAATAGAATACAAAACGTCAATATTATAAAAAATGAAAAAGATGTAGATAACTAATACATGACATGAAATAATTGGGATATAGAAACACATACACACCTTAGGAAAAACCATTGTTATACATGGGAAATCATTTCTTGGCAACAGCGCAGACCTGTATCACGAATGAGAATAATAGGCAGATACGCTGTGTTGCCAATTTGAGTAGAGCTTCCCGAATTGTGGGGAATTTAGAGTTAAGTGTTGATTCATTCAAGCTTTTAATCAGCATGGCCTAGACGTTAGAACTTCATAAAGATAACATTGAAGCTGAATGCTGCTGGAGTATAGTGTTTCGAATATTCAAAGCGGAGCGGGACACTATACTCGTTCAATGAGTCATCAAGCCACAGTCTTTTCAACAAAGAAATTATTTTACGAAAATGCGTTATATTTTTACGATTTTGTCGTCACCAAATCTCTGTTTCTCAAAATGTACGTCTATTGTAGAATTTTCAGCAAACTAAGCAAGAAACGTGATCTAGTATTTACTCAACATTACGGATTTCTCGAAATATATTAAAAAATGTGACCTAGATACCTAACTGCCCCAAGCTCTTTAAATATAACACCTTAAACCAGGGTTACCAGGTGCTCAGTCACGTTGATTGTCATGTTGTACTGCGCAAGTCAGCAAACAATCTGGCGTAATAAACGTTAGGAATCATCAGGTATTGCCAGATTCCCGAATACCGGGCACCATAGTAACCGTTATAGTTGTCCTTCAAAGTTGTCAAATCGCCCCTATGGCGAAAATTCGCCACACCAGGCAACTGTGCTATAAACAAACCCTATTTATCACTACTATTTGATAGTCATATAATAGTTGTAGCCCTATCTAGCGGTCCATGATTTCTCTCAATACTGTTGTATCTCTACTGGCAACAAGAATAGGGATTACAAAATCATTTATACAACAATATACAAACATGAAAAATATGATTTGAACCATGAAACATTAATACAATTTTAATAGTTTGAACTTTTTTCATTTTTGGAATACCCTTATGTGGAATCCGCAGCTATTTTTCCCTAAATTTGGGTAGACTTAGATTTCTTAGAAATATGACATATTGGTATCGGCAACTCTGCGAATGGGAGAAACAAATCGCATTTGTTGAGCGCATCCGTCTAAGCGGTAGGCGCCAGCGCCCGTTCTGCCATCTCTCTCTTTTATCACTCTTCTACTTTACCCCGTTGTCCGTCACACTCCGACGCTGCCACATAGGATCCTACAATCGAGTGTCTTTCACGCACCTACATACTTTTGTATATTTCCATCTCTCTTCCTCATCATAATGTATAATAATGTTTTTTCCCAAGGTGTATAGCCGCGTACAGACCCACGCAAGCCAAGGCACATGTGGTTACAGATTTGGAGGTGTTCGAATCGGTGTGTGCGGCGCGAGCCAACATAAGCCACCGGTTTCCAAGGTCGGCGCTGGCGTTCGATTGCGTTCGCTCCTTGATCGGTACATCAAAGGGAGGTTTGATTTGGTCTGGACAGGATTTGTTGCGCTTCTCGTATTTAGTCGTTTGTATGCATTCGATAAGAGGAGACTCAACGCTCGACATTAGCACCGAACTTAACCCAACGCGGTCCAACTCGAAACTAAATTTCGGTGTAACGCATTCCAATACCGTCTAACAACAAACGCCAACGTCACATATGCTTGCATTTTCGGTCTGTACGCGGCTTTAGAATAACGAGTTAGGTACTCGCACAAAAATTCATTTGTACTATACAGGGTTATCCAAATTAAGTGTCCACCATTGGTAACTTTGTTATTAGTAAAAATACAAAGTTGTTTAAATTAGCAAACTAGTAGCATTTTTAACGCTGGTAAAAATGAGAAATAAAAAAAAACAATTGAGAGTCGTTATTTTGATTTTTTTCAGTAAAATAACATTTTTTTAAATGGAAACCCCTGTATATTATATTTTTTTCTGTTAAAGCATCAAATTTTAAACAAAAAAGTTCATAATGACTTTTCCGCTAAAGTCAAAAATAAAGTCAAAATAACGATAAATATTTTTAATTATTTGCAGTATTATAATATTAAGACGGCTATGAAAACAACATGGCGTTCGCGATTTGACAGCATTAAGATAAGCGACAAATTGTTAAACTGGACATACTCGCAACTAGAAGGCTTTGGAAAACCATGATAAAATCAAATAATGTCAAACATTAGTGTAAATACTTGTTTAAAAGCTTTATTGTGTCATTAATTTAAAGAAAAATGTTCTCCCATGAAGAAAAGTGTGATATGTTAGAATGCTATTTAGTGTGCAGAAAATCCTCCTTGAGAGCAAGAGAATACTACAGTGAATTATATCCCGCTCGCATTCAACCGTATGAACGATATTTTCTGAGACTTTATCGAAAATTTAGGGGCAACGAAAATGTTTTTGCTAAAACAAGGGCAAAAAAAGAATTCATAATAAGCGAGGCCACGGAAATTGCAGTTATTGGATATTTTGAAGCTTATCGTGAGAATTCAATAGCAGATATTCTCAAGGACTCTAATTTCAGTTATGGTACTGTTCAAAGGATTTTAAAAAAATACAAATTTATTCCGTATAAGTACCGACCAGTTCAAACGCTTTTGGCAGGGGATCCAGAGAGAAGACTTGTTTTTTGCCATTGGTATCTTAGCATCTGTCGCCAAAATGTAAATAACTTTCGTTACCTTTTATGGACAGATGAATCAAATTTTTCAAATTCTGGAATGTTTAATAGAAAAAACCACCATTATTGGTCAAGAGAAAATCTTTTGTTAGTACATCCAAGAGGCCCACAAGTCCGTTTCAGTTTCAACGTTTGGTGCGGTATAATTGGTTCAAAAATTGTTGGCCCGTTCTTTTATGAGGGAACCCTAACTGGTGAAAGATATGTGGAATTTATGTCAGAAATTCTGACTAATTTCTTAGACGAATTGGATCTTATAAGTAGACATCATCTGCATTTTCAGCAAGATGGCGCACCTGCCCACAACTCCAGAGGTACTTATCATTTTCTAAGTACTGCTTTTAATGATCAGTGGATAGGAACAAATGGCCCAATACAGTGGCCTCCCAGATCACCAGATCTAAACCCACTTGATTACTTCTTGTGGGGTTACTTAAAGAACCAAATTTACAAGCGAAGGTTCGATAACCTTGACGCGTTAAAGACTGCAGTTAGGGAAAAGATAACCCAGATAGATGGTAGGACCATACTTAAGACAGTACGAGCAGTTGAAAAACGTGCCCAAAAATGCATTGAAGAACAAGGTGGTGTTTTCGAGCATCTTCTTTAAAAAAATTGTTATTGTATTTTGTAAGATTATAAGTTGATGTTGAAAATAAAGTTTGTCGATACAATTTAATTGTTTCAGATTGGAGGCCATAACTTCAACAATTTGTAACCTAGGAGAAAAGTTATTGTAAGCTTTTTTGTTTAAAATTTGATGCTTTAACAGAAAAAAATATAATATACAGGGGTTTCCATTTAAAAAAATGTTATTTTACTGAAAAAAATCAAAATAACGACTCTCAATTGTTTTTTTTTATTTCTCATTTTTACCAGCGTTAAAAATGCTACTAGTTTGCTAATTCAAGCAACTTTGTATTTTCACTAATAACAAAGTTACTAATGGTGGACACTTAATTTGGATAACCCTGTATTTAGTAAAAGGTTCCGAAGTTTACTTTTAAACAAATATAAGCTGGTAATATGCTTAATATCTAAAGGCAATTTATTATACAAGGCACTACATAAATACATCGGACTGTATAAGCACTAAGATGTAGGCGTGTATTTCACTGCGCTGGGGGAATAAATCTGTGTTTTCTTTAACAAATAAGCATGATGAATATTGACTGTAAGATTAAAATTGTATTATCTTTAAATACTGGTCTACAGGTGTCCAGTGGGTTGAGACCAAATGCTAATCTAATCAGCCTCTTTTGCAGAATATTCTCTGTATGCCACAAGAAATGCCCCGATATATAGGGTGTTCCTTAATGAAATGCGAATATTTAAGGGTGTGAATCTATATGAAAAATTAATGTCAGTTTGCTTAATAGGTTTCCTCACAAAAACTCGGAGTGTTGATGTTTTAAGAAAAAATGGAAATTAATTAATATTTTCAGAACCGCTACAGATATTTCACTGATATTTAGTACGTAGTGAAAGTTAGTAAAGTTGCATGTTTTTCAATGCAAAAATAATGTTTAGCTTTAACAGAGGCGTGCGCACAGGTATTGACTTCGATATTTTTCAAGAAAAAATGGTACACCAATGGTTTTTTGACTAATAAAAATTATTTTTGAATAAGCCGTTCAATTTAAAACAAATGATCTCTCTCAAATTGTTTTCCTTCGATGCGCTATTTTTGCGTAGAAAAATAAAAACCGTTCTATTGTCTAACTTGCAAAATTATTGTTAGTGTAATTGGAAAAATTAAACACATTAGGGGTAATGAACAACAACAACTGACAACATAAACATAACACTAAAAACAAGGAAATGATTACAAAAATTGTTGAAAATGGCCCCCTTCACTTAGTATGCAGCTTCCGCCCTCCTTCTCATGGAATTGCGCACTCGTTGAAATATCTATTACAAGCTGCAACTATTCTTTCTCTTAATTCCTCTACAGTGCTGTGTACACTAGTATCTTAAGATAGCCCCACAAAAAGAAATCTAAACTGTTGAGGTCTGGGGACCTTGGTGGCCATTCTTGGGGCCCACCGCGCCCAATCCAACGATTTGGATAGACAGTTTGTAAATAATTACGATCCGCTACACTGAAATGCGCTGGTGCACCATCATGCATGTACCAAATATTGTTTCTTATTACTAACGGAACATCATCAAGCAGCAAAGGGAACTGTTGTTGAAGAAAATTGAGGTAAGTCTGTCCGTCAAGTTGTCCCGGCAAGAAGAATGGGCCAATAAAGAGGTTGCCAATAATTCCTGCCCATACGTTAACCGAAAATTGGTGTTGGAAATGGGTTTCGGTTACAGCATAGGGATTTTCTTCTGCCCAAAAATGATTATTGTGGAAATTCTAAATTGCATTTCGAGAGAAATTAGCTTTTTACCATCATTAACAAGATTGTAAAAACTAAATAATGAAAAAGATGTCACAGCGAACAGATTTGATTAAAAGAGACTTGTCAGATTTCAAAAGCCAGTGATATATTCCAGGGCAACTAGATATTTATTGCTAAATTGCATTCTTCAATTATTACATTAATTTTCTCGGACAATAGAACGGTTTTTATTTTTTTACTCAGAAATGGCGTATCAAAGAAAAACAATTCAAGAGAGATGATTTGTTTTAAATTGAACGGCAAATTCAAAAATTATCTCTTTTCGGCAAAAAACTATTGGCCTACCATTTTTTTCTTAAAAAATGTCAAAGTCAATACCCTTACGCACGCCACTGTTAAAGCTAAAAATTATTTTTGCATTGAAAAATATACATCTTTATTAACTTTCACTACGTACTAAATATCAGTGAAATATCTGAAGCGGTTCTGAAAATATTAATTAATTTCCATCTTTTTCCTAAAACTTCAACACCCCGAGTTTTTGTAAGGAAACATTTTTGGACCATAGTTTATAAAGCAAACAAACATTAATTTTTCATGTAGATTCACACCCTTAAATATTCGCATATCATTAAGGAACACCCTGTATAACCAAGTACCTCATGTCACAGTACTCCATTGCAAAATAAGTATCCAGGAGACACCCTACGACTAACTAGTCCCCGTAGGTTTCTTAATGCAAAGTATGCCGAGTTACTTACTAGCCACTTACGGTATATGTGTTTCCCAGGAAAGTCCTTGTAGAGACCTAGAAATTTGTGGCTTTCCACCTTCTCTATAGTAGTACTGATTAGCGTGAGCGTCAGAGTAGGTACAGTTTGACTTTTATAGATCACTATATACTTTGTTTTGGATTTTTTCATTATCAACTTGTTATTCGCAATCAATTCTTTTAAATGGTTTAGTAAAATAATATTTGCCTTATCTTCGAGTTGTTCGGGTGACTTTCCGCTTATTCTGATAGTTGTGTCATCTGCGTATTGTACAACTCTGACGTCCTCACTAACCAAGCTCCCACTCATATCATTTATAAACAAGATGGGTGGTAATATACATCCCTGAGGGACCCCAAGTTTATTCCAAATGAATCTGAAGTGACACTCACTCTTACTTTTATTTTTCTGTTCGATACAAAATATTTTATCCATGCATCTATTCGTGACCTGAATTCCGTATGTCGACTTAGGTCGAAGAAAAGAGCCATGGTATATCGCTCACTATCTACAGTCTCATACTCGTAGATATAACTTAAATGTGTGCCTAAAACCGCGTTGGTTTGGTGACAAAATTGAGTGTTCGTTGATGAAGTTGTTTAGTCTGCGGTGGACAATTGCTTCAAATAATTTAGAAAAACGAGAAACTAGCGTTCTTGCCCTATAATTATCGAGTAACTCTCGGTCTCCTTTTGTATAAACAGGAATGCTGGTTGCTATCTTCAAGCTATCCGGAAATGTTCCTGTACTCATAGAGAGGTTAAATATAACCTACCTCTAGACATAGGGGATATATCAGGTAGTCAGCCACAAACTTTATCTCCTTAATTGGTATGCCATCTGAGCCGCCCGATGGTCTGTTTTGAATTCATTGAGAACTGGTATTAACTCTGATGGAACAATATCTTTAAAGAACAATGATCATAGAATGTTTTGTATAGAACAATGTGTCTCTAAAGTATCGTGTATGTGGATAGTAGCGTATCCTTAGCAATTTTTGCAAGATAATCCCCAAAGATATGTGCAACTTGTTGAGGATCCCTGATTATAATCTTATCCAAGATTAATTGTATTGCATCTCGCTGCTTTTTCGGTTTACCTAAACTACTATTTATAATACTCCATATTTCCTTTTGTGGGCTGGCAGAAAAGACCATTTTTCTCTGAAAGAATTCTCGTTTCTTCAGATGAAGTTTTGACACATATACTTTTGTTTTCTTCCTTATATCTCTCATTTATCTCCGGACTATTTAAGGTTTTTGGTAACCAAAATAGGTCTTTCAAAGAATTGCTTTCAGGTACAATATTGACGTCGATCCAATCAGTATTATAGACAGTATAGTTTAACTTAGCTTTGGTTAAGGGACAAGCTTTGTCTAGGCAATATATGAATCTTTGCCAAAAATTGTCCCCGGCAACGTTGACGTTTTCGATGCAAAAAAATGAACTCATAGTCATGAATAATGTAAGATTTTGCAAATTACTTTCAGAGACAAATCTTCTTTGAATCGCCCTGTATAGAGCATTGATAGCAGCTGTCCCGTAATTTCGATCCGGAAAATTTTTTAGACGAAAAGCGAGATAACCGAGGTATTTACTATGGAAACTGACCCATGGGGGTCAGGAAATGGCGCTTCCACCATGGCAATGGAGATGGAGTCGAAGGAGCAGATAGCAGCATAGAGGAGTTGAGAGCCGAATTGGAGATGGTTCGACAGGAGCTGTCAAAAAAGGACGATAATAAGAAGACCATTGAAAGATTGATGATGATCATCGAAGCCCAGCAGCAGACAATTACCGACCTAACAGTTAAATTAGACCTCGTACTGAAAACCCAGGTACCTTCCCATCTAAATATTACTCATTCTTCCCAAACACTTCCCAAAAATCCAAGTAAAGACAAAGCTGTCAATCTTAAGAGACCGTTAAATAATTCAAGCGATCTTTCCACAGACGACGATACACTCCCTGACGGTTTTACCAAGGTTAAGCCCCGTAAAACGCGACGAAACAAGATCGACACGACAGGCTTTCCTCCTCTCCCTCCACCAAAATCGCAGTCTGAAACGTCTCATTCAACTGCAAGCGAATCGAATAAACAGCCTGTGCCTAATCTATCGGTTACTTCCACGCCATCGACATATCAGGTACCAGAAGACACGACTGCACAGCCCCCACGCAAGTTACGTGTTACCCCCATCGTTCTTCGCTATGCTTCGAGATGGCGAGGCGTAAAGTTTATTTCTTTGGGCAACAAATCCGAACGCGCGGTTGCCGTCGATGCAGGAATCAGGATAATTCCCAAGTCCGGTGATGATTACCGCAGGTAGTCATACTGCCCAAGATAGAAAAATCTCAGCAGCTATTCAACGAACACGAGCTGCTAGGTTTGGCTATCCGAGTCGAAGTTCAAAAGAACTCAAGACTCATCGGGCAGTGTCACCGCTGCCAAAAATATGGGCATGCGCAATCTTACTGTCCGAGGATGATTACCGCAGGATTATTCGTCTCTTCAGGGAGGAAGAGGTGCCCCATCACACTTTCCCTCTACCCTCGGAGAGGAACATTCATGCTGTAATCAGAGGAGTACATGCGACACTTTCGGAAATTGAGATCAAGGAAGAGTTGCAACAGAGGGGATATTCCCCCCTGCACATAATTCGCCTGAAACGCGGTGGCGGCGTGCCCATGCGTTTGGTGGTAGTCATACTGCCCAAGATAGAAAAATCACAGCAGCTGTTCAACGAACACAAGCTGCTAGGTTTGGCTATCCGAGTCGAAGTTCAAAATAACTCAAGACTCATCGGGCAGTGTCACCGCTGCCAAAAATATGGGCATGCGCAATCTTACTGCACTGCACCACCTAAATGTCTAAAATGTGCTTCTGACCACATGACCCACTTATGCCCTCAAACAGAACAAGAGGAACGAAAGTGCGCGAACTGTGGAGGGGGGCATACAGCGAATAGCCGAACTTGCAGATTTGCCCCTAAGAAAAATCTGCAAGTGATAGCGCAAAGGCGCAATGTAAGTTACGCGGATGCAGCTAGGGATGCAACCCGAGCTGCCCCCTCTGTGGGATCTTCTGCGAACACGCAAAATGTGGACCTGGCAACCGCGCTAAGGTCCTTACAGCAGATCATAGGTCCTCTGATTAGCGCAACACAGGCTTTGCAGGCGATCTTTCCTGCAAATGGCTAGGTACAATCGACGACAGCCTGCATTTATCAAAATTCTTTTTTGGAATTGTTTGGGTCTAAGGGACATTCCCAAAAGACGGGAATTTCATCAAGCTCTTGTGGACGAAAGTATAGATGTGGCCTTGCTGTAGGAAACATTACTTAATCCGGGAGATCGTCTAGCTTTCCCTATTTACGATGTTATCCGGGCTGATAGATTGACTGGACGGGGTGGCGGCTTGGCAGTGCTAGTGAAACGCGGTATTGACTACCACAGAAGCACAAACGCTGACATGCAGAGCATCGAAGCGGCTTCCGTGGTGGTCAATATGACGGGAGGTGTGCCGTTAAAAATCACATCGGTGTATGTCAGGTGTGGTAACAGGCTGCAAGAGGCGGATCTGGAAGTCCTTTTAGACTGCTTGGGTCCACTTATTGTGGCAGGGGACTTCAACTGCAAACATCGGGTATGGCATTCCAGGTTGAATTCCACCAGTGGGATCCGACTGTACAACCATGTGATACGAAATGGCTACCTCATACATGGTACTGAGGAACCGACGCACCACCCATTTAATCACCTTCAGGCACCTGATGTTCTTGATTTGGCATTATCCAAAAACTGTAGCTACAGTATCACTTCTCGAATCATGTATGACATCTCAAGCGATCATCTTCCCGTCGTTTTGGAAGTGGCTAATGAGCAGATCTTGGGGGATGAAATCCCTCCAAGGAAACGCATTGATTGGGAGCTATACAAGTCGCTCCTCAAAGAGTTCCCCAATATACCGATCATAGATGATGAGAACGGTATAGATGCGGCTCAAGCAGAGTGGACAAGTTTTGTTCAGCAAACTCGGAAGTGTGCAGCTGTACTTCCCGTGCTGCGACACGGCAGACCTTTTCTGCCAGCAGACATTCGTCAGAAAATTTCTGATAAAAGAGCTGCAATTAAGCAAGCGAAAAGGTCTTGTCATCCTGATGACATTCGCAGAGCGACGAATCTTGTTCATGAAGTAAGAAATGCTCTTCATGCATTCCGCAATGAGCAATGATACGACTTTCTGGCGAGGATGCTTGACTCAAGCATTCCTCTCTGGAAGGTGGCGAAGTCGCTCAAAAACGGAAAGCGTGAACAAATCCCACACATTCACGGTCCTGGAGGCACTGTCTTCACGACAGAGGAGAAGGTTGAGGTTTTCGCCGATGCCATGGAAAGACAGTTCTCTCCCAACTATGATCTTGATAATGACCTCGACGAGGAGCAACACATCGTAAGATCTGTCAGGAGATATTTTAGGGCCAACGGCGTCAGTAACAGTCGCGCATTCGTTGGTGATTTTTCTTCATCAGAAGCTTCTTCAACCGAAGATTTGCTTAGCACATCAGCGGTATCTCCTGAGATCCCGCATTGCACACCAGCAGAGATTCAAGATCATATTAAAGACCTTAAAGTGCGTAAAGCACCTGGGGAGGATCAACTCACTAATAAGGCGCTGAAGCTGCTTTCGCGGAAGTCCTTATCTCGTGGCAATAGCCAATGCCATGCTAAGGATCCAGTACTTCCCATCCGCGTGGAAGACCGCTGAGTTATAATGATTCCAAAGAAGGTGGGTTCGATATTTCCCCAGGATTATCATCCCATTAGCCTGCTGTCAGCTACGTCTAAGCTCGCTGTAAAGGTGATTCTACGTCACCTTGAGAATTTCTCGTCAGATCACCATGTGATTCCTGACGTGCAATTCGATTTTCGGTCTGAACATAGTACGGAGCTACAGGCGGTTAGGCTGGTGGAACGTGTAACCAGAGGATTCACCCTTAACGAAAGTACTGGCATCTTGCTTTTGGATGTCTCAAAAGCATTTGACAAGGTGTGGCACGCGGGCCTCTTGTATAAACTAATTCAAAAGGGCTTCCCTTTTTGGCTTCTAAAACTACTGAAATCCTTCCTTGAAGGTAGGAAATTTCGGATCAAAATTGACAATGTCCTGTCGACAACACGGCTGATTACAGCCGGCGTCCCTCAGGGTTCGGTCCTTGGACCTATACTTTACTCACTGTACATCCGTGACGTCCCTAGTCCCAGCAACTGTGAAGTCTATCTCTATGCTGACGATACTGCATTGGTGGCTCAGTCGTGGTCTGGTGACCTAGTCCATGACAGGCTGCAAAGTGCGGTGGAGGAAGTATTAGATTGGGCGGATCGGTGACTAATTAAAATAAACCATTCGAAAACGCAGGCAATCTACTGTACAAAAAGACGTCGCGGCGTTCCGTCTGAAGTTTCAATGAATGGACTTCGTATACCATGGGAATCCTCCGCTAAGTATCTCGGTGTCATTCTGGACAAAGGGATGACTTGGCGGAACCATATGGAAGCGCTGAAAACTAAATTCCAAATTACGTTTCGGCAGCTTTACCCATTATTATGTAAACGGTCAAAATTAAGTTTGATTAACAAGATTCGACTCTATAAGGTGGTCATAAGACCAGCAATGACTTAAACATGTGCGGCTTGGTGTTTTATTGCTAAAACACACATGCGAAATCTGCAGGTTCTGCAAAGCAGGACGTTGCGCACTATTGCTGATGCCCCATGGTATGTCTCTAACGAAACTCTACATAGAGACCTCGATGTCTCTTACCTAAAGGACTACATTAAGCAACAGGCGCAGCGGCGCTATAGCCTAGCGGAATCGCACAGCAACCCTCTGTTGCCGCGGCTCGCACTGTAATCAAAATTAACCCGTGAACTTAGAACAACCAAAATTGGAGCATTTTTACACAATCTTTAGAAAAAATCAAATATTTTTAGACCATATCAAAATCTGTGAAGTGATTTTAACAATGCCTAAACGCTGCCTATCCTAAAAGATTCTCTTCTTCCCCTTTGCTCTCGTTCTTCCTTCTCTCCTTTCCTTCCCCTTTTTTCCTTAAAATTGTCTGGTTTCCGGGTTACCAGACCTGACAGACTTACAAACTGACACTGTGACTCAAGAGCTAAGGTCCCACAGACCGCTCTGACAACCAACGATGACTTGACTTGATCGTCTTTGAACATAGACGGACTTATTTGGCATATTAACTATGTGGATCTGAGCTATCTGAATTTTGTAGTCAGATACGGTTAAATCCTGGTTACATATACTTGCATTATCAAAAGTTGTGATTATATAGTCAATTGTTGATTTGGCTGTTTGGAATTCTCTAGTTTATTATTTAGAATGCTAAATTAAAGCTGTCGAGTATATCACTCAAAATCAATATGCTCTTCGAGTTGCCAGTCTATGTTCAGATCGCCACCCACTATGATATTTTTAAAATCTTTAGGCACGCTACATAGCACAGAGTTAGACATTTTTGAAAACGTATATACACTGCTGTTAGGAGATCGATAAAATACTAACCCCGCAATTTTTTTAGTTCCAACTGATACAGACATACACCTTCACAGATATTTTCTTTGACTACCTTTTGAAGTAGATTAGCTTACATAACAGATTTGAACGGCAATATATGGAAATACCAGCATGTATTGATTCTTGTCTACAAAAACTGCCTACAAGATTCATATTTGAGATGCGGGTTACACGATTCTGTCATCCAAGGGCGGATGCAGGATTTCGTCTAGGGGCGGGGGGGTGCGCAAACGATATTTGGGGCTGGTCATTTTTTAACCTCAGTGGAACTTCTAGAATTTATCCTATTATTGCTCCTTAAATCCATTGTGTTCTATCTGGTCAAGGCCAGCTTGAAAAAAAAGCATGGAAAATGCTCAGAAATCCTCAGAGAGGCAATATTTTATTATATGAGAACAAAATAAGTATGTGGCATGTATAATTAACTAGTGTAATACTATTAAAGATTCAAACATAAAAAACTTCATTGCTGGTAACAAAAAAAAAACATTCTGAGGGACTCCGAGACATATCCCAGTCTATTCCACACAAAACAATGTTTTTGATTGCGAAAACGAACACGACACGGTTAGGATGGGAGGTCAAGATTGTTGCGTCCCCAAGCAGTGGTCTGTCGTCAGAGAGGAAGTCATCGCTAGTCTTCGTGCAGGAAAGGAGGTCGTTGATATGTAAGAGGAACAGTGACGGAGCCAAGACCGATCCCTGGGGATCACCCCCGATGACGTTGTGGGATGAAGAGGGGAACCCGTCAATTACGAGGGATACCTTGCGGCCAGAGATAAAGTCAGCCACCCATCTCCAAAACTTTTCTGGGAGGCCATAGGATGGAAGTTTGCTTAAAAGGGCCGCGTGTCACAGCTGATCGAATGCATTCGTGATGTCAAGAGCAACGACATAAGCCTCACCATAAGACTGGATGAGTTTGCGTGACGTAAGCTAGGAGGTCCCCTGTGGATCGTAGGTGCGGGAAAGCATACTGCCTGTCGCTAATCAAGCTGAGACGTTCGAGGTAGTCCAGAAGCTCCCGATTTAGGTACCTCTAAATCACTTTATTTATAACAGAATGCAGAGCTTTTTGGGGATGGGTTGGACATGGGCAAATTTCCAGTTTTCTGGGAAGGTGCCGGATTCATAAGAGATAAGAGATGCGAAAGAATTGGAGC